ATCTCCTCAAGATAACCCCCGACCCCCACAACGTTGACACCACGGGTACCAGCCCCAGGACATTTTTGGATAAAATATCAAGCTGCATCATGATTTTGGCCATGTTCTGGTCTCTCTCATTGTCTTTTTCAATCTGCTCCTTGGATAGCTTAGAGGTGAGAGGGGAGACTTGGTCTTCACGAGTGTACCATGCTCTGTTGATGGTTGTCATGCCATCTAAAAGTTGAACTGCTACTGCATACGGCTACTGCATTAAGCCTCCCAGCGAGAGTTGGACGGCGACACCTTTGTTTACCGAGTCCAAACTCCGGTAGAAGTACTGAAGTAGCACGTTATCACACAAGCCATGGGTTGGGCATTGTAGCACCAACTTTTTGAACGGTAGCCAAGTCTCATGCAGAGGCTCTCCTTCTAGACGCTTAAAGCTCTGGATGCTATCCCTAAGTGACATCATCTTCAAGGGAGGGAAAAATCGCACTTGAAATGTGGTTACCAGTTCCTCCCAAGAAGTGATGCATTCTCGCGGCAACTCAGCTAGCCATTTCCACGCCTCTCCCATCAACGAGAAAGGGAATAACCTTAATCGGACTGACTCCTGCAGATGTTTTTGAACGAGAATGGTCCGCATACATCTACGAAGTTTCAAATATTCTCGTAAGGATCCTCATGAGCCAATCCACTGAAAAGTCCCTTTAGTTGCAAGAGTTGCAACATAGTGCTCGTTATGTGGAACACTGCATTTCCCTCGGCTGGAGGTTAAAGGATGGCTCCAACACCTCCCATGAGATGGGGGTCATTGATGTTGGGCTCTTGGATATCGTTGAGATTATTGATGTCGTCCTAGTGCCCCACCTGACTGTCGTTGCTACCGTTAACACTCATACTTTCTGAAATATTCACACAAGCAGACAAATCAAAACTAAAAATTAGATAAGTAGACTACAACTATGAAGAATAAAAATTCTATTAATCTAAACAATTTCAAATAACACCACTCCCCGGCAGCAGCGCCATTTTGATGTTTAGCATATTCAACGACACGTCTTAGAGTTCAGGTATCTATGATAGTGTCCCAAGGGAGTGGTTTTGAGAATTAATAGAAAAATAAAACTTAGTTGTAACTAGTCGTAGCTAAAGACATTAACGATTAAAAACATTCTAAATTAAAGGGGACACACAAACGTGTCAACTATGAAATGGGGGTTTGTCACAAATAAGTAAACTAGCAAGATTAACAAGGAAATCTAAGCAATGAGAGGGGGATTCTTGTGATGTGATCGGAATACGGATTAATCTAGATTATTGGGTACATGCTTTCGATAGAATTTTATAGAACAATAGTGACTAGGCTAAGCGAATAAGTTCTCTCTCGGGCAACTTACCCCGTTTCAAATGCGTTCCTCTCGAACACCCACTTGCCGCATGAATACCAGCCTACGCCCTACCCCACTTACTCTCTCGATCTGAGTGTTAGGGTATGGGACTAGGGCTCACCCTTTCGGGATGAGCCTCATGTCGACCCACTCCTTAAGCCATCAATCTGAAAACACATGAGTGAACTTGTATTTGCAACTACAAATCCATTAGATTCAACCACAACTACTAGACAAAATCACCATTAAACTACATTTAATCTATCATCAAGCAAGACCCAACAATTATCTTAACCCATATTCGCTAAATCACACCCCAAGAATTGGGGGTTTTAGCCACACATCAAGAAATAGAAATTTATACCTAAATGAGCTTGCATTCAAATGAGTATGAAGATTTAAGTCTTGTTACAGGCCAAGAATGAAGAATCCAAGAGACCCAAGTCCAAATCCTTGGAGATGAAACCCTCTTCTTCTTCAAGTCTTCAAAACCCTCTCAAACTCAGACCAAAAATATGAAAAGTTAATATTCTAGACTGAAATTTATCTGAATGTTCCACTCTAAGTGAAAATTATAATAATTGTTCCACACTTAAAACTACAACTCTAACTCGTATTTATAATTTTCACAGATTCATGCTGCAGCAGATCATTCGGCGTCGTTAGTCAGAATCACTGATCAACTCAGCGATTCGCCCTTTGGTGTAATTCATCGCCATCTTGCACCAGCCCTCAACATCGTCGTATTCTGGGTCATTCGGTGACTTGGTACTGCTTCGCGAAACTTCTCGGCGATGTGCCGACTGCTCCCTTTTACCACCGACTTGATCCTTTCCTTCAGGCTCAGCACACTGGAATAAAAGGTGAAGTAAGACCCTTCGGCGACTCGCCAAATGGACTCGGCGATCCTCAGGCTTTCATTTCTTCGTTCTTTTCAGCCTTTTTGTTCCTTTTTGCGATGTAGTGTCAATGCTTTCCTGAAAACTTCAAATACCTGAAACTTAAGGTTTTCATCAGATATTGAGATAAAATAAGCATTTGAGGACACAATTTCTATTAAAATATATCCCTAAATGGGTCCAATTTGTGGACTCATCACGACCATTATAATATTTTCATATAAATTAAACTCACTTCAATTTTAAAATGCTTTAGTAAGATAATTTTTTTGAGTTTCATTAGCGATAGATATAATAATAAAATAATTTGATAATAATTGCAATAACTTCTATAAATTATGCATATTAAAATATAAAAATTTTAGGCAAAATTGATTAGAACTTTAAATCCGATATATGTTTTAAAAATACGTATTTAATCAAATAGCACGTCCGAAAAGGTTAAAGGTCAGACAAAATTGGGTGTCAACAGCTGCCCCTTGGTTGCTCGAGAATGAAGGATGAATTGTCGGGTAACCAACGTTGACTTAGTAGCCAATTTTGTTTGACCGACAAGAGATGTCAGTGGGATCAATTGATACGATATAGAGTTAGAAAGGGGTACGACCGAGACTTTGGTATTAAGTCGTCTGCATGTCTCTAGTTTTATGAGAATCAGGTTGTGTGTAGTTCTAGATTTACGAACAAATGAAGCTTCTAAAATTTGAAAAGCGGTATGATATTCGAACGGGAACAATATCAGCTTGAATGGATAGGATTAAAGTAGCGAGAAAAGCATGACAAAGTGATATCCACCTTAAGCAAAGATTACATTAAAAGAAAAGATACGAGTAGCAAAGCTTGATAGGGCCTTCATTGCGACAGATATGTGAGCATGATAATCGTAGCTGAGGGGGTGATTGGTCTCACCTGCAATATATCAGTTTCTGCAAATATGTAGCTTGTAATATGACTAAATAAAGTGATTAGTGCAGATATATCGAATGAACAATAAATGTAAACATGATGCAAATTCCCATATCGAACATGATATTTGCCTTAAGACTATGAAGATGATGTCTTAGGCTATGATGTCTAGGGACATGATACGCAAAAATTAAATCCTCAGGTCATGAAAATGTTGTCCGTGGGCCATGAAAAAATGATGCCCTTAGACTATGACACCTTCGGATCATGATAGACTTCATGTTTACGGGCCATGAAAGATGATGTCTTTAGACCATGATGTCTTCGGAACATGATAAGAATGAAGTAAATCCTCAGGCCAAGAAAGATAGTGCCTTTGGATGATGACGCCTTCGGAATATAAATAATGAGTAAAGAAAGCATATATGTTTGTCACTCTGCACAAATGTATTTGGGGACATGCATTTTTCGGGCACAGTTTAATTCTCGGGCAAAATGCAATCTCGGGCTCATGCAATTCTCGGGCACAATGCAATCTCAGGCTCATGCAATTATCGGGCACAATGCATTTCTCGGGCACAATGCATTTCTCGAGCACATGCAATTCTCGAGCTCTTGCAATTCTCAGGCACATGAATTTCTCGGGCACATGTAATTCTTGGGCACCATCAATCTCAGGCACGTCCAATTTTTCGAGCACAATGCAGTCTCGGGCACATGCAATCTCGAGCTCATACAATTCTTAGGCACAATGCAATCTCGGGCACATGCAATTTTCAAGCACAATGTAATCTCGGGCTCATGCAATATCGGGATCAATGCAATATTCAGGCACATGCAATCTTTGCGCTTAATGCAGTATCGGGCTCAATGCAATCTTCGAGCACAATGCAGTACCAGGTTTATGCTTTTTTGGGGCACAATACATAGTATTTGAGGGCATGAAGTATCTTACACCTTCACCTTATTGGAAGGGATCGAGTGTCATTTGTTGGCGAATTTCGAGCTCGGTGTATTGTAGCTCGTCCTATAGTAATGAGAGAGTGTCGTTGAATGGCGATTTGTCGGGCTTAACAGCAGTCAGAAGATTTTGCAATTGTTGTTTGTGTATGTACCTATCTTTTCTGCATTCAAAGAAATATTGTGAGTTTATAAATAGGGGTGATTGATCTGCTTGGACCGGCGTACTCCCTTCATCCTAACCTTTCCGGGCATTTTCTTTGAAGAAAATGTAAGTAGAGGAGGAGGGAAAGTTTTGAAAACCTTTTGAAAATATTAATATGTAAAAGTATTGTTGAATCTTCGACTATCGCACAATTTGAGACTTTACAATCATCCGACTGAGAAAGGTCACTTCGAATCTGATACGCTTCACAAAATTTTTGGAAGGCATTCAAAAAAATTCTGCCCTAGTATAGAACTTCTGTTATTCTTATCTTCGTTGTAAGTTGTAGCTTGATTATTGTGAATTTTTGAGATCCTCTTAAAAATTCTGCCACAGTCATGGTTTGTGTGGAAATGTTCCTTGAAAGAATTTTTGAGACCCTCTCAAAAATTTAGCCCCAGTATCGAGATTTTGCAAGGAAAATGCTCTTTGCTGGAATTTTTGAGGCCCTCTCAAAACTTTTTCAACAGTTACACAATCAAAGGGGGAAATGATATTTTTATTACGATAAGACCGAACTCCATAGGAGTGCCTACGTATCCCCTCTTAAACGGGAATCAGGTTTGACGTAGTTCCAAATACAAAGTAAAAGAGCATGAAACAAACTTAAATGTAATATCTCGTCACAGCATCTGAGTTGATAGGTTTGGGCCAGTCTTATCCATCCATTTCAGCAAGTATGAGTGCTCTGTCTATCAGCACCCGAGAGACTATGTATGGACCTTGCCAATTTGGTGAGAATTTACCCTTTGCTTCATCTTGATTTGGAAAAATCCGCTTCAAAACCAGTTGCCCAGGTGAGAGATTTATGGGTCTAACCTTCTTGTTGAAAGCTCTGGCCATTCTATTTTGATAGAGTTGACCATGACAGACATTGTTAATTCTTCTTCCGTCTATTAATGCCAGATTCTCCAACCGAACTTGTATCAATTTAGCATCACTTAGCTCCGCTTCCTGAATAATCCTTAGAGATGGTATCTCTATTTCAGCAGGTATCACAACATCATTACCATATACTAGAAAATAAGGTGTAGCCCTAGTAGAAATTCTGATGGTAGTACGATATCCCTACAATGCAAATGGTTGCATTTCATGCCAATGCCTGTTATGATCTATCATCTTGCATAGTATCCTCTTGATGTTCATGTTTCCAACCTCAACAACTCCATTCATTTATGGTCTATACGTTGTCGAGTTTGGGTGACTGATCTCGAACTTCTCACACAATGACCTCATCAAATCACTATTCAGGTTGGTTCTGTTATCAGTAATTGACTCGGGAATTTTGAACCTACAGATAGTATAATTTTTGACAAAATCATCTACAACTTTCTTTGTCACCAATTTGTGAGAGGTGGCTTTGACCCATTTAGTGAAGTAGTCAATTGCAACAAGAATGAATCTCTGTCCATTGGATGTTGCTGGCTCAATTGGACTAATGATGTCCATTCCCCAAGCTGCAAATGGCCGAGGTGAACTAGTAACATGGAGTTCATTGGGAGGAACTTGGATCATATCTCATGAGTTTTGCATTGGTGACATTTTTGAACATGGAGAATGCAGTCTGTCTCCATGGTTAACCAGAAATATCCCAATCTCAAAATCTTCTTTGCCAATGTAAAACCGTTCATGTGAGGACCACATGTTCCCGCGTGTATCTCTTCAATCAACCAGTTAGCTTCTCCGGCTTCGATGCACCTTAACAAACCCAAGTCGGAAGTCCTCCTATAGAGGATTTCCCCATTTAGAAAGAATTGATTTACTAACCTTTGAATTGTGCACTTTTGTACACTTGTTGCATCTTCTGTATATTCACCGCTCTTCAAATATTCTCAAATTTCATTTTACCAAGGCTTTTCATGAGGCTCTTCATCAACATGAAAGATGTATGCTGGTTGCTCATATATATGAATGTAAATGGGATCAATATAATTATGATCAGGATGTTGAATTGTAGAGGAAAAACTGGCTAAGGCATCTCCAATTTCATTTTGGATCCTTGGTACATGTCTGAATTCTGTCTTGATGATCCTTTTGCACAACTTACACACGCACTCCAAGTATGGTGACAACTTCAGATTCTTGGTTGCCCACTCGCCTCGAACCTGATGAATCAATAGGTCTGAATCTCCTATTATCAGTATTTCTTGGACATCAAAATCAATCCCCCGTCGAAGTCCCAATATGTAAGCTTCGTATTCATTCATATTGTTTGAGCAAAAGAAACTGAGTTTCATCGATACTGGATAATGTTGCCCAATTAGTGAGATCAAAACAACTCTGATGCCACACCCGCTCAAATTCTTAGCTCTATCAAAGAACATCCGCCAACCATCATATTCTTCAGAGATGTCTTCCTCCACAAAAGTGACTTCCCCATTGTAAAGTAAGTCTTCAATGGTCTGGAATCATCATCTGCAAGGGTTCTCCGCCATGTGATTCGCTAATGTTTGTGCCTTCACAGCTTTTTGTGTAACATAGATTATGTCAAACTCGCTCAATAGTATATATCATTTAGCCATTTTACCTGTAGGCATGATGTTTAGAAAAATAAACTTCAGAGGATCGATCCTTGAAATCAAATAAGTAGTGTGCGAGGAGATATAGTGTCACAGTTTCTGGGCGACCCAAATTAGAGTACAACAGGTACGCCCCAATAAAGAGTATCGAGCTTCATATGATGTGAACTTCTTTCTCATGTAATATATCGCCTGCTCCATCTTTCCTATTTCATCGTGTTGCCCTAAGATGCAACTGAAAGCATTATCCAACACTGATATGTACAACATCAGTAGCCTACCAGATTCGGGTGGAACCAACACAGCAGGATTGGACAAGTAATCTTTGATCTTGTCAAATGCTTGTTGACACTCGTCTGTCCATTTCACTGCAGCATCCTTCTTCAATAACTTGAAAATAGGCTCACAAATGATAGTAGACTATGCTATGAAACGATAATGTAGTTAAGTCACCCCAAGAAACTCATTACCTCTTTCTTACTCTTCGGCGGAGGGAGATCACGAATGACTTTTATTTTTGATGGATCCAATTCTATACCCCAACAGCTGACAATAAAACCCAGTAGCTTTCAAGCAGGGACACCAAAGACACATTTTGTAGGATTCAACTTTAGGTTATACTTGCGTAGTTTGGCAAAGAACTTGCAAATCATCTAGATGATTCAAAACCTTTTTTGACTTGACGATGACATCATCCACATAAACTTCAATTTCCTTATGGATCATGTCGTGAAACAGAGTAGTCATTGCCCTTATGTATGTCGCCCAAACATTCTTTAACCCAAAAGTCATCACCTTGTAGTTGTAAATACCCCACGATGTGATGAAAGCAGTTTTCTCAGCATCGTCCTTGTGCATCTCAATTTGATGATAATCAACAAAGAAATCTACGAATGATTGTGTTTCATGCTTAGCAAATGTGTATATTGGGCAACATAAAATTATCCTTGGGACTAGCCTTGTTGAGATCCTGATAATTCATACAAACTCTGACCTTTCCATCTTTCTTGGGCTCTGGAACGACATTTGTGAGCCAGGTTGGATATTCTGTTACTTGTAGAATTCCGGCCTGTAATTACATTGATACTTCCTACTTGATTTACAAACTCAACTCAGGCTTGTGTTTTCTGAGCTTCTGCTTCACTGGAGGTACGATTGAAGTGCTTAGCACTGTCATGTCTTCATAGGACTAGGCAAAAATATCCTTATTCTCTATGAGACACTCAGTATACTTTTTCTTGTTTGTACTAAGTTTAAGAACTTCCATTTATACTAAGTTTGGATTGGGCTTTTCCTCGAATTCCTCAACCTTTCTGATTAATTCTTCAGATATGCTCTCGCGCATCCTCAACAAAGTTGAAGGGTCAGACAAAATGCTAAAAGGCATGAAAGAAGATGTGTCTACCCTTAGCCAGACCGTTACCTCTCATTCAGTTTCAATCAAGTAGACAGAGACCCAGATGGGTCATATCTCGTCTCACCTAAATTCGAGATAGCCAGGGGGTTTGCCGAGTGATACCATAGCTAACCCCAAGAATGAGGTTTAAAGGTGAACTTGCGTCGTACCACAACGTTAATTAAGGCATTGTTTGGGAGGCAACCCAAAACCGTTGTTCTTTTTCTATTTTGTCTTTGATAAAATAATGGAGTATGATTGCGCAGGTGAAAATGTGGAAGTTGAATGAGAAATACAGATTGGCAAACGGAATACCCGGTAGGTGAATCGCTGAAAGGTTCGGCGACCCCAACATACTCCGTCGTTTGATCCAACCCAATTTGGGTTTGGATATGTAAAACTTGGCGGACTCAACGAAAATCATTGGCGAGTCGTCGAGTAATCGAGGATTCTAATGCAGACCGCCATTTGGATCTTTATCTTAACTGAAGGTCCTGTAAACTTGGTGAGACAAGTGACAACTCAGCGAATCGCCAACAGGTTCGGCGAGCGGGACTAATGTCGCCCAATAGACAAAAACTGGACTGTCTTTCAGCCAAAGGTTTAAAAAGTTCTAACTTCATTCTATTTCATAACTTTTTCACGTTCCCAAACTCAGATCTACACTCTAGTTTTATATTTCTCACACTTTTGGAGTATTTTGGTTCATTGATCTGTGGGCGGATTTTGATTACATTGCCGCCTAGCTTTCGGTAGCATTTTAATCAGTACAAAAGGTTAGCTTCTCAATACCCATGATTATTTTTTCAGCATTATACTCATTTGCAAACTCTTTGATATTGTTAAAATCAGTTGAGCCTCCCTGATTGGATAGAATTGGTTAATTGTCGATTGTTATTCGATAATCTTCCTTAAACTGTTGAAATCTTGTTCTCTGATGTGTCTAGTTGAGTTAATGTGTGATAGGTGGTATTCGTAGAATATGGGTCTTGGTCAAATTTGTGTTGTTTGTGCTTTAACTGTATTTTTGGGGTTTTGCTGGGCCAATTTGGAGAAGTTAGGTAAAAAACAGGCACGTTAGGTGATTCGGCGAGCTGTGATGAGCTCTCCGAACCACTCAGCGGTTCGCCTAAGCGTCCCATCTGCCCTTATTATCATGCGTTATTTGATATGGCAGCTGAAACTTTTGGCGAGAAGCACGGGATCAGCAAGTGCACTCAGCGACTCGTCGATTGTCATCTTAATCGCCCTTTGTCTGCACCCTTGATCCTTCTGCACTGTGACCTTCGGCGGACTAACTGTTGCTCGCCGAATGGAATGACCACCTAGCTACAAATGAATATCTCTGCTTAGTGTGTCATGTTCTAACATTATCTCAAGATTTTTGCAGACATGGCCAGGTCCAAAGTTCCAGGAAGAGACATGCCACCCCAACACATAAGATCACAAAAATTCAGGAGATATGCAGAAATGTCGAAAAAACCAAAGCAAAGAGCAAGGAAGCCAGTTCCAGTAGGAGGATTTCCATTAACCCTACCGTCCCTTCGTGGTCCCGAGGATTCATCAATGCGATACATACCTTTGGAGCTGCCCATGATTTAGATGAGATGATTATGGCTAACCTCACTGCGGCAGCTGAAGCAGAGAACCAGAGTCAGAAGGAGGACACACCGGGCACTGATGCCTAGACAGTTGGAGCGACTGCTTAGATAGGATCTCTTCTTTACCTCCCTCTCTGTTCTTCTTTAATTGACTTGCTGGATATTTTTGTTATTTGCACTTGAGGACAAATAATTTTTTAATTATGGTGGGGTGAGTCCCACCTTTTCTGTGCTACCCATGCTTTGTGTTGCTATTTGGATTGTTTTGTTTAAATTTTGTTGAGATACTGTGCATGTGTGGACATTTGAGCTTATGGCTTCCTTCTTGTTTTAATTGTAAAATGATTTTTACCCTTCCAAAAAATTTTAAAATTTTTCGCACATTTTCGCCACCCCTCGTAGGCGCTTTAAATGTGGATATTCATTAGCAAATTTGAGTCTCAGTTTCCATCAATACCGATGACTTGAATAGTGTTTGCAATTGAACGAACATAAATGCACGACTACGATGAGACAAAATGAAGTTGCGTAGACAATATGTGAACTCTTTGCATCTCGTTATGACTAGCCTTGTATCAAATTGATTCTCTTGTGATGATCATTGCACACTAGCGAAAGTGTGGAGTCTTGTTTAACTTATAGTGTTAATTCCTAGTGTGATGAGCTTACGTGTGAACTATGCATGATAGATCGTAGAATTTTCCCCGTTGGTCCAGTCAACGAAGTGATGCTATCTGTTGATATGATCTTAGGCAACTTCTACGAGTGTGATCCAATTTGACATACACCTCTTTCGTGACGTACCTTGTGAGCGTGTGATTCTCTCTTGAACACCATGTGAGTCTTACCCTTCTTTGGAAGAAACTTGATGAAAACTAGATCTTTCTTAATCCATCACCTATAATCCTCATGAAAGTGTGGTTAGTTTGAATAGCCAACTTAGGCCAAAAGCCTAAGTTGGGGGTGTGGTGAAAAGAGAAGGCAAATCAAGAAGTGCAACAAAGTCCCTCCTACCCATGGTTTTGAGGAAAATGGAACCCCTCCATATAAAAAAAAAGACAGAAAAGAAAAAGAAAAAGAATGAAAAAGAAAAGTTGTGGAATAAAGTTGAAAAATGAAAGGGGATTTCCAAACAATTCTTGGAAAGTAAATAATAGGATGACTTATAAGCACTAGTGAAAATGATGAAGGAGAAAGGAAAGGAAGTGTTATGAGCACCACATCTCATGAGGATGAAAATCATTGAGCCTAAATGACCGACTATACCTTTGCACTCAACCCCATTACAAGCCTTGAAAAGACCGTTTTGATCTTGAGTGAGATGAAACAAATGTTGATTGAAAAATACGGGGAAACCTATAGGTGAAATTATGCATTATGTTCTTCTTTGTGAGTGTGAGCGTTGCATCTGGTACCAAAGCTTTAAACTGTGAAACCATTGTGTGAATATGGAATCATTCTTTGTGTGGGGGCATTTAAACACTATAGTTGAGCTTGAACTTGCATTGGAAGCAAGTATTGTGAGAATGAGATTCGTTGATATTGGTGAGTCACAACTTGAATCTTTGAGTGCACATATGATCTTTGCATAAGTAAATTGAGTCTTGTTGTGTGCATTATGATTGAGTCTTGTGTAGCACTGTTTGAGACACCCTTTTTGAACGGCTGAACTTGAGTTTACTTCTGGACAAACAAAAGTTTAAGTTGAGGGTGTTGATAAGTCCACAAATTGGACTCATTTAGGGCTATATTTTAATAGAAATTATGTCCTCAAATGCTTATTTTATCTCAATATCTGATGAAAACCCTTAAGTTTTAGTTATTTGAAGTTTTAAGGAAAGCCCAGGAACACTACATCGCAAAAAGGAACGAAAAGGATGAAAAAAATGAAGAAATGAAGGCAATTTCTGCATGATTGGTTAGTGCTTTCTTCATTAGTTTAAAATTTTGTCTTGCATCATCTATTATGAATATTGTATGTTCAAAATAAATAAAGGAAGTGTTCGGATCAGTTCTCTTCTTCCCTTTCTATGTGTGACATTATTTACGTTATGCTTCTTTACTTGTTTAAATTCTCGTATGCGTGCTCATGATTTGGATTATGTGTATTGAGGCAACCTTGTAATGGTTAATCTTTTCATATATACTTGCTTGTATCTCTTGTTATCCTTTAGCAGGTTTGAACTCAAAGTTCAAGATATGGAGAGTTGTCATGGGAGAGAAACACTAGACGAGCTGAATTCTTTCTTAAACTCCGTGTCGAGTCAAACTACCTCACATAAAATAGGCCGGAAGGAGTAATTGTTTTTGCTCAATAATCTGTCTCATATTAGAAATATCATAGATACCATGCCTATAGAGGTTAAATAATCTTTAATATATTTATTCGGGTGTAAAACCCATGCCTATAGGTTGTAGATCTGGTTTTATTTTATTCTTTATTTAGAAATCAGGCTTAGGACTTAATTAATAAAATTGTTAATCAGTTTAAGTACTTTCAGCATGCGCTAACGAATTAAGCTTGTTAGTTAATTAATCATGTTTAATTAACTTTAGTTTTCAGCATGTTAATCAATTAGAAATCCTGCCTATAGGAATTAAATAATTTGTCATTTTAAATTTGAATAAATATTATCTATGTGCATATTTTGTAAATTTCCAGCATGCTATAACTACAGACAACAAATTTTCTGCATCTGTTAATGCTCAAATATTTTCCCTCATGTTTAAGAATAAAATCTGCATAGTAATAATTTATGATTAAAATCACTGTCTCAAATTAAAAGTTGTTCTGCCTGCTCAAATATTACTTTCAACAAATACAATTAATAAATCATTTTCTGCATGTTTACTTAAAATCA